GACGATGGGCAGGGAACAGGTGGCAGGGGTATCACAGTGAAGGTGGAGGGAAAAGGCACGGCCTCTGCCGTAATCACTGGGTCTCATGCCCTCTGCATGGGATGAAGCCACGTGGGCTGGGAAGATATGTCCATTATCCTTTGCTCTGCCATGAACACAACCTCTGCTCCCCCAAACCAACAACCTTTAAACAATTCAGCAGTTGTAGGAGATTCATTCTGACCTGAGTCATTATGACAACTCAGATATGGCTATGTAGTTATGGCAATCAGCACTGAGCAAACTGTTAGCCTGATAGCTACTGTGTTCCCCCACACAAGAGCCCTGCAATGAGGACTGGCCCCCTTCATATACAATAGTAAGCTTCTGGAGCACTCCCCCTACTATAAAGGATCACACGAAAACAACAATAGCTTGCTGCCAGAGGAATAATATAAAGCAGCTGAACATCCTGATAAAAGAAAATTTGACCCTATTTGTGGACATTTAAAAATATACTGTGTCTTCTTTTGATTCTCTTTGGCTGCCACAATCAGCCTTGAAACTGAATGAACTTTTTCCTCATGTAAAAAGAGGCTTCAAGTTGACACTAAACCCTGAGGTATTCTGAGCCTTTGATGAGAAAAAAACAAGGATTTGAAGGCTCACCTTCCCACTGAGAACAACTCCAACACCTGGACAAAAATTTTTTTAGATCTGTCTGAAGGCTTCAGAGAGCTACCAAGCCTATGAGGACTAGAGGAGCCAAGTTCCTGAAACGAAGCGCAGAGAAATGAGTCCAATATTTGACACTGCTTTTGCCTTCCAGACATTTACTGGTTTTAAAGCAACAGCTGAGAGGCTGCGAGATTGAGCAGAAAGTGTTAGCTGAAGATTAGGCAGAGCATCTGGCAGTCTCAGAAAGAGAAGGAAACAAAACTTGGAGTTCAGAGATCACCAAAGAGGAGGGGCCCTGATAAACACATGAAGTTTCCAGTTGAAACTCTAAAGTGGTTCTACTCTAGGCATAATGATGAACATAAGTAGATCTGCCCTCCAAATGTGAAGCCTAGCTTCAAATGAATTCAATCTCAGGTTTGGTCAAGGTGATCTGGCCCTAGGATATCTTCATGCCAGACACAAAATAGATCCTCTCTGAAAGAATGTAACATCATACAGAACCTGAAATTAGCTCTACAATTTTCTATGCATGTCCAGGCATGCTAGGCAAAGAGACCAAATGGCCCAAAACCAAGAGAAAAAACAGACAGTAGAAATAGACTCACATGAGATCCATATGTTTGAGTTTCAAGCACAGATTACAAAGTAACTGAGAATAATTTCTTCAAGAGATTATAGGAGGAGATGAAGAACTTTGACAAAGAATTGTAAACTTTCATGAAAGTATCAAGTATAAATTCTAAAAGTGAAAAATACAGTGACTGGAATCAAGAATTCAAGAGTGGGACTTAGCAGCAGCTGAAAAGAGAATTGGTTAACTGGAAGATAGGTCAGAAGAAAACAGCCAGACTGAAGCACAGAAAGAAAAAAATGATGGAAAGTCAAAAAAAAAAAAAAAAAATACATGCAGTTGAAGTCCTGGAGGTAGAGAAGGGAGGGAATAAAGCAGGAGCACTAACAGAAGAGCTAATGACTAAGAATTTTCTAAAATTGACAAAAGAAAGAAAGCTACAAATTCAAGAAGTGCTGTAAATCCCAAACAAACAAAAAAGGGGGTGTGGGGAATTCCTCATCTTAACAAACATAGTAAAACTTTTGAAAAGCAAAGACAAAGAGAAAATCCTAAATGCAGACAGGTTTGGGAGGGAGGAGGGAAAGACTCATTATCTTCAATACAACAATAAGGCTGACAACAGAGTTCCCAATAGAAATAATAGAAGCCAGGAGACAATGGATTGGTATTTTCAAGGCACTAAGAGAAGAAACTGGGCTTTACTTCCAATATTGTGAAGTAGCTCCTCCCATACTCAAATTTCCCACAGATCACAACTATAAACTCTGGACAAAATTCAAGAAAGTAAACAACAACTCAAAGGCACTAGAGAGTGAATGAAAGCAGGCAGATTGTGGAGGAGAGTAGACACTTGGGAAGGAGGAACAGCATAAGACGAGTTACCCATTTTTATGGCATTTGGGTCAGTGTAGGCCAAAGTCAGTGCTGAGCAGAGTGAATCCAATAGAACTCTACTAGAAAATCCATAACTTTATTGGCTTGAAAAAAAACCCCAGAAGATATTAGTTTGGAGTAATCATAGTCACTGAAAGTGAGAGGGAAATTCCAGAAAGAAAAGAGCCAGAAAAGGGAACCACAATTTCTGTGTTTAAACTCTGCCCAAATCTCTGGTGGACAACTGAACCGCATGCACAGGGCAGACTCCACCCAAGAACATGAGCCTCAAATACCTGTGGGATAATATCCAAAGCCCTAACATTTATGTAACTAGAATCCCGGAAGAAGAGAGATTGGGGCATAAATAATATTTAAAGAAATAATTGCTGAAATTTTCCCAGATTTAGTGGAAGACATATATTTACAGACTCAGGAAACTTAGTGATCCATGAGAAGGGAGTATACAAAGAAAACCACACCAACTGCACCAAACTCAATCTATTGAACACCAAAAATAAAGGAAATCTTGAAAGCAACCAGAGAAAAATATATATAACATACAGAACAATGATTAAAAATACCACTGACTTTCCATATAAAGTAGGAGGCAAGAGACAGTGGTAATATATTTAAAGAACTGAAACAAAAACTTGTCAACCAAGAATTCTAGTAAAAATATACTTAAAGAATTAAGGCAAAATGATGACATTTTCAGATGAAAGAAAGTAATTGCCAACTTGGAAATCTATACCATTCACTGAGGAAAACATTCCTCAAGAAGGAGAGTGAAAGAAAGATTTTTTAAGACAAAGAAAATTAAAGATAATTTATTACCATCGGACCTGTACTAAAGAAAATTCTAAAGAGAATTCTTCAAGTAGAGGAAAAGGATCCCAAATGGATGCTCAGAGATGCGGAAAGAAATGAAGATCCACAAAAGCAGTAAGTAAACCTAAAGGATGAGTGGGTAACCCTAAATGAATATATAATGAAAGAACAATAATATTAATATGATAGGATTTAATATGATAGAATAAACATAAATGATGATAATAACACAAAATCAAAAGAGTCAAGAGATGTTAAAATGTTTGAAAGTCCTTGCATTGCCTGGGAACGGATAAAAGAATTTATATGTAGTACAATCAAATCTGTACTACCTAGACCCACCCCTCTTTCAAGACGTAAAGATCTATTCCTTCAGTTGTCATCTCTTTTTGGGAGTTGCCGAAAGCTTAAGAAGGCCACCTTGCCCAACGACATGCCCGCTTCTCAGGGTAGCCTGTATCCAGTGACTAGTCAATGTGTTGATATAAAAATCTGGCCTTCTCACCCAAACTCAAGACAACTCTGAAGGGCCATCCAGCTTCAGAGGTCCCCTGGGAATGGCTTTAGGCCTTTGTCGTAATTGCATCACAACCCAACTTCCCCCTCTGCCAAACCTGCTTCCTTTCTTTCCTTTCCACTGGTGACAAGCCCAAGAGCATCCCCCCAGTAGACTTCCTGACCACGGGTCTTCATCTCAAAGTCTGTCTCCTGGGGAGCCCCACCTGCAATATTATATGAGCTTTTATAGGTCAAGGAGGCATGTTTAAATTCTAGGGTAACCTCTAAAGAAGTAGTAAGACAAAATTTGAAATTAACGAACTAATAAAGGGGAGAAATTAAATGATAAAAAGTAGTTCATCGAAAATAACACCAAAAAAAAGATAAAAAGGAACATAGGAAAAAGGTAAGACAAATAGAAAACGAAGAGTAAAATTTAAAAAGATGGAAACGAATTGGCCAGATGACTGTGAAACTCATGAAAAGTTATTCAACCATTACTATCCCGGGAAATGAAGATTAAGGCAGTACTATTATTCATACATCAGAAGTGGAAAAATTTAAAGAATGATACTATCTATTACTGGCAAAGATTCAGGGTTGTGAGCACTCCCAGATATTGCTGGTAAGAATGTAAATTGTTACTACCATTTGTAAAAGAAACTCGGTAATATATATTTAAACTAAAAATACATTTTCTCTTTGGCAGAAACTCATTAGCTCTTCACAAAACCTGTCTCTCTTCTTCCCAGACACACCTAACCTACATTTGCTGGACTGTTTTGCAGCAGGTGACTAGCTCAAGGATGACGTTGGAGTCACTTGTTGAAGGTAGCAGAGCCCCCACAGCCTGGGCCCCTGAATGGCTATGTGGAGCAGAGACTGCTGAGTTTCTGAAACTAACCTGGACTTTTAATATATCTGAAGCGTTACATATTGGTGGGCCTATTTGTTATGGGAGTTAGTGTACTCTGACCTATACATCCTGTGACTCACCAATATCACTTCTAGGCATCTGTCTTTACGGGTAAAAGTAACAGCAGCATATTAGACTCTATGGACAAGGAAATACATAACTGGAAAAACTGGAAACAACCCAGATGTTCATCAATAAGGGAAGAGTTGAGTAAATCGTAATGCATCCATACAAAGAAATATTATACAACGATCTTTTAAAATGAGTTATCTCTATGCCTACTGACCTGGGGAGACTTCCATGATATGTAGTTAAGGAAAAAATTAAGTTGATCTACATGCTTAGTACAATCCTGTTTTTATGGGAGGAAAAAAAACCTTGACATATACATATTTGTTTATCTTGGGATAAGGATGGAAATAAGTGTGCAAAGATGTAAATCAGACTTTTAACAGTAGTAAACTCAGAGGGCCAAGAATTGGAGAATACAGGTTATGGCAAAGAAAAAATGACTATAGCAGAATAGAAGCATACCTAGGTATAAAACTGAATGAAAATGCAGAATATAAAATTGAATCATAAAATATTGAATCAAATATGTAAAAACTGAACATGTATGTAGACAAGGATGAGAAGGTAATGTCAACTTACATAAAACTCATTTTTTGTCTTAAATGTTAACACTTTAATATTACTTTTGTAATAAAAGAATATTGAAAAATAAAAGGAAGTGGCTTAGGCCTTACCTGGGTTGGGCTATTGATGCCCCATAGTTGACATTTATAAAGCTGAACAGCCTGGATTTGGGGATGTGTACTCGCTTTGGGGTTGTATGACCGTCTTAGTAAGCCCAAAGGGCCACAACACCATAAGGGTGGATTCTTCTCTGAAAAAAAACCCAGATGTTCCCATTGTCACTCATCCCAGGTAGAGTTCAAACCTGGAACAGGAAATGAGGACAAAAAAGTTCTGATCACCAATTTCAATGTGCGTGTTGGGAGAGCAGAGGAGGTCCCTCACACCGCCAAGCAATTCTCTAGACAACAGCTGGGTGTCGTAGAATTCAACTCAGTTCACTATCTACCTGGAGATAGCATCAGACTCCATACACGTCAGATGCCAGACGTAAGCCCAAGTTGATATCTGTGCTTCTGACCAACTGGCTACAGATTCGAGGTTCCAATGACCCCGCTTCTCGGGTTCAATTAATTTGCTAGAGCAGCTCACAAGACTCAGGAAATCCATTTACTCACTAGATTACCAGTTTATTATAAAAGAATATAACTCAGGAAACGCCAGATGGAAGATACACAAGGCAAAATATGGGGAAAGGACAAGGGGTTTCCATGCCCTCTCAGAGGAAGCCACTCTCCCCGAATCTCTACATCTCCACCAACCCAGAAGCTCTCCCAATCCAGTCCTTTGGGGGTTTTATGGAGGCTTCATTACATAGGCATGACTGATGGATTCAACCTCCAGCCCCTCTTCCCTCCCCGGAGGTTAGGGGGTGGGACTGAAAGTTCCGACCCTCTCAGTACATGGTTGGGTACCCTGGCAACCATGCCCCGTCCTTAGGTGAGGTCCAAAAGTCACCTCATTCATGTAACAAAAGACACCTTTATCACTGTCATCACTAAGGAAATTCCAAGGGTTTTAGGAGCTCTGCCAGGAAGAGGACACAGACCAAATATGTATTTCTTTTTTTTTCAATTATTTTATTGAGATCATAGTGGTTTATAACATTGTGTAATTTCAGGTGTACCTTATTATTTACCAATTTCTGTATAGACTACATCGTTCTCACCACCACTGGCCTAATTTTTACCCATCACCATATACCAAATACGTATTTCTTATTATAAGTCACAATATCACAAGGGCTCCAGAGGCAAGCCTTAGACTAGAGTAGCTTCTTAAATTTTAATGTGCCTAAAAATCACCTAGAACTCTTGTTGAAATTATGATTCAGTGGGTCTAGGGAGGGGCCTGAGAGTCTGCATTTCTAGTAATTTCCCAGGTGATGCTGCTGCTCATCCCTGGACCACACTTCTGCATAGCAAGGACAAGAGAAATCTTTCTGCTCTCTGTGGGGCCAGCAGCGTGGTGGCAAAACAGGAATAAGGCTGGAGCTGGTCTGCTGAGACACCCTGAAGATGGTCCTGAGCCAGGGCCACAGTTAACTACTGTGCAGGTGCCCTTCCTCTCCACAGTCCAGGAACCTTCTGTGAAAACTCCTGTGACGTTACCTCTTGGTCTCTGCTGTCCTGTCAGGATTATGGGGGATAATTCCCGGAGGGACTGGTCCCATGCTTGAAATACAGTAGTCAATGGTAAAAACAGGGTCCATTCCTCCTGAGGTCAATATGGTAGTAGCAGAGGGGTCACCAGCAGGAGGTAGCCCTGTCCAGGCAGTCTCACAAAGAGCAGCCGAGGCAGTGTGGTGTAGGAGAAGAGAATTGTGGCCCTGTTTCTGCACACGACCCTCTCACACCCTCTTTCTGCTCATGCAGGCTTGGGAACCCAGGCATTACTGCAGAGGTTGACGCTTACAGGCTTTTTTCCCCAATACAATTCCTTCAAAATCTTAGTAGATTTCTAGTCTGTTTGTTTCTATGTGTGAAAAACCACAGTGAAGGATCTCATCTAGTCAGAGTTTTTAAGCCTAAAGCCTTTTATTTACCGGCCTGTGTTCCAGCCACACTCCTCTCTCAACAGTGGAAACAAAAGGCTTCAGTGGGTTCTGAGTTTTACAGCCAGCTAAGCTGATTCCCACCGAACGGCAGAGAACTCCCAAAGGAAGTTGCTTGAAGAAGGCTTGGGGCTACAGCGCTGTCTATCAAGGCTGCCATTTTGTGGCCAACTCTCAGGACTGCTTCAATTCGGGTTACAGACACAGTTAGCTTTTTCAACACTTCAAAAACCTCAATTGCCAGACTCTCGGTTAAATTAGAAAGCAGGCTGCAGCACAAAGTGCCTCTCTCAGCAAAGCCATATTTCCTTCCATCTCTGTTTGCAGACTCACTAGCCCTCCGCTGAATTCCACTCTTTCGTAGGACTTGGCTCAAAGTGGCAAGAAGCAGCCAACACCAACATTCCGGCCTTTTTTCTACCATTTCCATTAATAGGTGGCCTGCCTTCCAAAGTATTTGTTGTTAGTGCCATTGATGCAGGCTTGGCAAGCCGAGGAGTCAAAAGAAAGATTTCTTGGACTCTCAACGTCTGGTAGTAGTGCTCCTTTATTCAGAGAACAGCGTGGGGACAGGACCCATGGGCAGTGAAGAGCTCTAATGGGTTGAAAGTAGGGCTAAATTTATAAGGCATAGGTATATGAGTTATTTCTTCACAAGACAAAGGAAAGATCATGTAAAAAACTCATTAAAATGGTATCAGTGCAGGTGGGGTCTGGTTAGTGGGTGGTCCTATAACTTTGGATATGAATCAGGTCGAACCAGGTCAGGACGTCCTATGCTTCCTGGAGGATAATATAGATCAGTATGTAGGGCAGAACGCCTTGGGCTTCTCTCGCTGGGGCAGCCTTGATCCTTGTGGATTCCGACTCCTAGCAACCCTGTGCACAGTAGAGCAGAACCCTGCTCGGTCTTTTCGTGCCCTCCTCTCAGCTTCTGGCACTACGTCAGATGATGCTCTGCTGTTATTCATAGGGTTCTCGTGGCCAATTTTTTTGGAATTGAGTGGCCAGGTCCTTCTTCCTAGTCTGTCTAGTCTGGAAGGTCCACTGAAACCTGTCCACCATGGGTGACTCTGCTGGTATTTGAAATACCAGTGGCACAGCTTTCAGCATCACACAACACACAGCCAACACTGTGTAACAACCGCCAGACAAATGGTGTGGTTCCTTTACCAGGAAACGAACCCAGGCAACAGCTATGAGATCACCAAATTTTAACCACTGGTCCACCAGAGTAGCCTACCAAGGTACAGCAGAAGACAATTTGACCATATGCTTTGTCACCACAGAACAGAGGTCACCACCTATCTAGCCTGCAACATCTGTCCTTGTGGCCTGCCACCTGCCTAAGCTCATGTTTAACACTCTATTTCAGGACAAAATTCTGGATTAGTTAGAATTAGTTTCAGTTGTGTCAGAAAAGCCATAATAACAGCGAGTTTTAAAAGAATGAAAGTTTATTTCTCTCACACATGGAAGTTTCAGTGGCCGCTCTGTGCATGTTGGTTCCACACTCATCAGGGGCCCAGACCCTTCTAGATTGTTGCTCTACCTTGTCAACAGGCCACTTCCACTTCTGGGACTAAGATGACTCTTCCAGCCCAGTCAACTGCATTCCATCCAATAGAAAAGGGGGATGGGGAGAAGGGAATGTCCTCTCCCTTTGAACACATTTCCTGGAAATTGCCCACATGACTTCCACTCAATATGTTGTTGATCAGAATTCAGTCACACGGCCATGTCTAGCCACAAGGGAACTTGGGAAACAGTCTTTATTCTGGGAAGCCATGTTTGCACTGTGGAAAGAAGTAGAACAAATATTGGGGAACAACTAATGTTTTCTGCTAAAGTGATGCTTCCCTTCACCTCCAGCCTAGTAGAAGGAGCTTTAAGGGGACCAGTTTAAGCTTATCCAGTGTCCCCTGAAGTCTGTAGGACACCAGGCGCTGGTGCCAGAACCCTGCATTGACTAGCCTAAGAGGAAACGGTGGCTACCTGATCTGAAAGCAGAGAGAGGAGGGGATGGCCCACCTGACTGAGAGAGAGCCAACCCCAGCACCATCCCAAAGGGGCTTTGCCTAAGATGGCCTCCTGGGAAGGCACTGGGACACCAGAAGAGTCTTTCTATGTGAATCAGGTTGCTGGAAAACCAATGGAACAGCAGAGAAGAGATTCCCAGAGATGGAAGTCAGTCTCTGAAAATATACAGATGCTTGTCCCCACCCCCAAAATGAATCGGCTTAAAACACCTGCCACCGTCAGAGGAAGCCATGTCAGATAGCACTGATGCTAGTCACATTAGACCCTTCCAGCCATTACTCTCCTCCCTCCGCCACCACCTCAACCGCAGAGCAGTCAGCAACTTTGGTGAGTGAGCTGACGGGGAGGAAAAGACTTGTAAGGTGAGAAGTAGAAGATTCCCACACCTATGTCCCCAACGCAGAACGGCAGGCCAGAGAAAGAAAAGAGGAGAAGCTTTCATCTGAAATCAAGTTTGAAGTTTTCATTATTTCTCTGGAAGCGCTCATTTCATTTCAGTGGTTCTCGATCTTGACTGCCCATTGGAATCACCTGGGGAGCTTTTAAACGTCCTGATGTCTGGGCCTCATCCCCAGAGATGCTGATTTCATTGGTCTGGGGGGCATCCTGGACATTGATATTTTTTAAAATCTGCCCAGGTGGTTCTGATGGGCAGCCCAGGTTGAAAAGCACTATGGTAATACTGAAGCAGAACGTTTTCGCAAACAAAAGATCATGGAGTGACCAGGAAAGTGGCAGAAGTTGCCCTAGATCTCACCTGGGGACGGAGAACTAGCCCCACAGCCCAGGCGTGGAAGGAAAGGATGATGACGTTTCACGATTGCACCCTAGAGGGGTCCTCACTTTCCATCTGACAGTTCCATCAATGCTCCCTTCCTCAAGGAGGTCAGAGGCCGTGACTTAGGATTCTTCAGGGTCTCCACACTGCTGCACACTTGCTAGACTCATTTAGCGAGAGCTTAACATATACTTGTTGCCCTGTTCTTAATCTCTGACCTCCATGCTGGGGAAAACTGAGGTGCCCTTTGTTACGCAAGAGGAAAACTGAGATGACTCCAGGATAGCCTTGAACTAGATCTTGGAGTTAAAGACGATAGAAAGTGCATGAGTTACAGTCATTACAAAGTGGCTGGAAATTATCACCAATCTATGACCAATTTCTATGGTTCAAATTGTGACCTCTATTTTGAAATTACCCCATTTTTGAGCAA